TTGCCTTTTGCTAGGAGAAATAGCGGCAGAGAGCTGTTTTATTTAACTCCGAAAGGAAATTTTCCCTAGGAAAATGCAATGAAAATGTCCTTATGGTAAAAAAAATCCGAAAATGTTATGAAATTCACTTCAGAGTGAAAGCCGAAACAGGAATGATAGGCTACTAAAAGAAATAATGTACAAAATACAGTCAAATACACTAAACTATATTTTCGGTAATGCTATGGACGATTTGGCATACAGAATGCTCAAGAAAACCTATTTTTTAACTTATTTAAATGTCCATATGAACGTAACAAAAAAAATGGTTTAATAAAAGACCTATTACACATACTTTCCTAAAAAAGAAAGTAGAATTGGCGTTTTATTTATTTATAAAAAAAATATTTTTTGCATATATCAACAAACAGGTTCATAATCCGGAACCTTATCAATCGTTTAGGCGTTGTTAAAAATAATTTATAAGAACTTTATTTGCGGCGAGACTAATTTCCTAGTCCCTTACAAATTGTCTAAGTACTGGATGTCTGTGGTACACTGCTGACTATTTTATAAAACAAAAATTGGGTATACAATTTTGACATTTGAAAGTGGAAAGGTGTTCCTCAGCTAATGATTTATCCACCGATGATGGCCTAGATGGCCTATGGTGACCAACCAATCCATTAATTTCTGCTAGATTTCCCCATAAATATTAGTAGTTTTCCGCGCTTATTGAAGGTTATCCAGCTTTTTGCCCCGCAGGTCAAATGGAAGGCAATACCTTCCTATCTTAATCCGCATCCAAATCATTTCCGTTTCCGAGAAATCCCTAATTAGCCAATTAAAAATCATCTAAATACTAAAAAAAATACCTATTCACAACCGAATTTACAGCATACTAAACGCGAATAGCGGGGGCTCATATAATAGTAATTGATATTAATCCGTATTAAACTGATATGAAAAATTCCATTTTGTTAAGAAAAAATGATATGTGAAAACTGAGGAGGCAATATAAAAAGGGTATTGTTCCGTTTTTTTTTATTGTGTTATTAAGCTAAAATATCATTATTTTTTCTGTATATTGCATTATTAGTTTTATAAGCTAATGACCAAATGGCAGAACACAAACAAAAGGAGTCCCAACCTAGAGACCTCTCCTCTACGTATTGTTATGTGGGCTCATGGTTGGCAAACGGTAGTAAGAAACGTTCTGCTTAAGCAAACAAGCTTTGGCTCAAAGTAAATACAAAACTCATAATAATATTTGTATTTATTTAAGCCTTCAAGTCTTGAAGTGTATGGCAAATACAAAATACGTTTTTCATTATAACGTTCTAAATATTTGAAATGGATTTTACTTCGCAATTCTCTCAAGAAAAAATATATTAAACTTTATTTAATTTCTTGAGGGAACACAACTGTGAAGTGGGGTCTTGCTGGCCAAGTAGATACATAAAAAGAGCGATTAAAACATGCCTTTAGCATATGCACATTTCGGCACATACATACATACTTCAATATTGCAACACTAGACTACAACTTTTAGAAGGATATTTTGACGGAACTTATTTGCAAACATATAAGAAAAACTATAAGCAGTGGTTATATGCTATTAAACGTTTAAACTTTTAAAAATATTTACATTTTTTGTTTTCAAGTCGACTTCGTTTTGTTATTTTAAATTATTTTTTTTGAAAGTGGTCAACCCGATATCGGCATCTTTACTAATGATGAGTTTGTTTAGAATTTTTTCCGATCTCAACAAGGGCTGAAATTATGTCAACCAGTACGCAGCGATTTTTTCAATATCCCACTCCACAGGCCGGTATATCGGCGAGTATTGAGTTTTTTTATTTGTGTATTTTTTTTGTAGTTTTAAAATGTTATGAAAACCATACCATTACTTTAAAAAATGCCTAAAATTCACGCTTCTAAGCCAGAATACCCCCTTAAAAAAAAATGTATTTGCTAGTTTAGATGCCATCAGACCTAAACCAGACTTTGTGAATAGATCTTATAATTTCATCTGGGAATGAAGGTTTTCCATCCCAGTTGGACTCCATTATTCAGAAAATTATACTACTGTTTGTAATGCAACGAATGAGACATTTCCGACGCGGACGACTCGCGAGCCAGTCAGAAGTTTGCAACGCAGTGAAGGAGACATTTCCGACCCTATAAAGTATATATATTCTTGATCAGCATCACTAGCAGAGTGGATCTAGCCATGTCCGTCTGTCCGTCCGTCTGTCCGTCCGTTTCTACGCAAGCTAGTCTCTCAGTTTTAGAGCTATCTGCATGAAACTTTCCCAAAAGTTGTCTTTCTATTGCAGGTAGTATATAAGTGGGATCGAGCCGGATCGGACGTCTATGGCAATTAGCTCCCATAGGAACAATCGGAAAAAAAAAAAAAATTATAACTTTGCTGTTTTTCATTTTTTTTTTAGTTCTTCGAAATGTAGTAATAGTTAATTATTTCAGAATTACGGTTTAAATTTCATCAAAATCGGACGACTATATCATATATCTCCCATAGGAACAATCAGAAAAATAATTGAAAAAAATTGTAACTTAGCTTTTTTTTAATTATTTTCTTAGTTCTTCGACATATAGTATTGGGTAATTATTTCAGAATTACGGTTTAAATTTCATCAAAATCGGGCGACGATATCACATAGCTCCCATAGAAATAATAAAAAAATATAATATAACCATCTAATAATTGAGCTGCAAATCATCATAGCTTCAATGTTTTTTAACATATTCGCAAGTAAATCATAATTTTAATGTTTTCAAAAGTATTTAATTCATGCAATAGCTGCACGGGTATATGAACTTAGGCTTGCCGAAGTTAGCTTTCTTTCTTGTTTTTATTTTAGTTATATAGCTATTTTAAATTTAATAATTCTAACTTTTGCTTCCTATGTGTCAGATTGATTTTTTTAGCTGTTTATGAATATAATACGTTTTATTCTTTCAGCCAGCTGAAAACTTTGATTTATTTATTTTATATCCCAACTAAATTAAAGTTATAAATTGAGAGTTTCATTTAAAAAAACCGATGTCCGATGTCAAGGTTTTCAAAAGTACTATAACTGTTTCGGTATCAAACCAATTTGAATGATCTTTTTGGAATTCTTTGTAATTGCTCCATAATTGATGCAAATAGAACTTGACATATGGTTTACAGCCGCTGAGAGCCAAAAAATCACCGATTTTACCGGCGGAATGTTAAGGTTAACATCTTGTTAGAGTCGTAAATGTTCCATCTTCAAGATAGATTTATAAAATTATTTTCGGTTTTTATATATCAAACAAACACACCTCTTGACGAGGTAAAAAAAACCTTAACGATCGCACCTTCGACGCACAAAGTAACTGATATTAAATTTTGTGACAAAAAATTAAATTCCACTTAATAAGTACACATTTTAAAATTTTATAATTCGCCGCGCTCTAACAAAGCTTTTTATCTACACAGGCATATTTTTGTTGCAGCGCCCCGAATAAAAAAAAAACAGGATAAAAGCATTGGCTTTCAAATTTAAATTAATGAAATCCTCCAGAGATCACACCTTGATTTTCCCTGATTCAAAAAATGACACTCAAAATTTTTTGTATGGTACCATTTTTTTTAAATTACAGTATTAGTCGTAGTTATAGTTAGTTCAATAAAAGTGAGGGATGGTTTTTGATTTAACAAGTATTGCAAATTGGCTAAAATTACAATGTAATATACAAGCCTTTTTGTAAAACAGCAATAAGTAACGGGTACCTTATATACCTTTTGAATAGGCTTCCTCAAAAACTACTTTAAATAAAAGAATAAGCTTCAGAAAAGCCCCGACCTCAAATTGTTTTAACATTTTAAGAATCAATCTTACGGTAAAAATCGCTTTTAATTTGTTTATGTCATTAGCTCCTAAATAAAAATTTTATTAACAAGAAGCTGTTAATCTTGTTGAATTAGACATTTTATGTTTGGTGAAGACTTGTTTCGTAAAGTTCAAAGTTATCGAAAGAAATGCCGGAAACGGTTGTCTTGAATCAGTCATTTTAAAATGAGTTCTCAGATAACTCGGACGAGTCGGCATCACCAAAGTTTTATCAACATTTTACAGAACTTTCGCTTAATTGCTCATCTTTCTCTGAAAGCTCTTGTCGAGACCTGTAAAGCCTGGTACTCAGATCGACGAACAGTTTCGCGAAACAACTATATTCCTTCTAGAGTGACTGAAAATTTTTGAGTTCAGCGAATTGTGTGTGCTTCGGTCTTATTAACAAACAGACAACAATTCAAATGTTTTCCGCCCGCTTGCAACCATTATATAAACATAAATCATATCATATATATATATAATTTATTAACAACGTAAAACTAAGAATTACAATCTTTATCCTAGACTGATATTAAATATGTGGCAATAAATAGATCGGACAAATGTTGCCGTCAACAATTCAATATTGCAATCAAGAAGTATTCTGCTCTGCCAAACTCCAATCTCAAAAGATACAATTTTTTTTCTTTGCGCCAGGGTTTGACGAACGTTCACCCAGAGTTCATCTTAAGCGGCTGGCAAAGCTTCGCAATTTTCTGGTATTTTTTATCAATCAGAGTACTGGCAAAAGAAAAGACACGAAAAATGCCAAACGGATTTCGTTTCCCAGATTGTAAACTCGTGACAGTAGAACGCTTAATTATAATACTCGTAAATGTTTTGAATGTAAATGTTTTTATATGTATGATTGTATATGAAAAAAAAAATTAACTAAAAACAACACTAAACACAAGTTGTGTATTTCAACTTAACCTACAACTTTTGATTGACTTCTTTTTGGAAATGTCATATTTTGGAAAACTGGCAAAAAACAAAAACTTTTGCTTTATACCGTTATTTCTAAAAAAATCGGCCTTGTCTCCATCTTTGTCCTGTTTATTCGTAATTAGTACAGCCAATTAAAAAACAGTAGCACATAGTACGTGAAATGAAAACTCATAACTTTATTTATTTTAGGTTTATGAACTAGAAAGGAGATTTAAACAGCAGAGGTATCTCTCAGCACCGGAACGAGAACACTTGGCCAGTCTTATTCATTTAACACCAACACAGGTAAGTAAAAAATTATTTTTAGTTTACAACACAAATTTACATACAAAATTACATACTCTCTTTTGCCGGGTATATAGTTTTTTAGATCGTTACTCACTTGTTTGAATCGCCCAAAGAAACTAAATACAAAATACGCTTGCATCCCGTATAATGAGCCGAGAGCGTTAAAGCCGTCCGGATGGTTTTTTCATTTCTGATCAGATCGCTTAAATTAGGTGCTATAGAAATTTCTTTCAACCAATGGACTTTGTCTAAAGTTTGTTTTGAGAGATTTCTGTAGAACCCCAGTACTAACGTTTGCAGTAATATATTGAGATTCAAAATATCCCAAGTGGGCTTGCGATCTCAAAATCAACAGTAAAAAATTGCATTTACAAGTTCAAATTGCAATTATAAATTTTTTTTGTAATAATACAACAAAAGGCCAAAAAAAGTCGCGATTAGATAAGGAAGTGAAATCAAGTAAGTAGTTATTCCGATATATCCCGACTGTCCTGTTCTACGCAAAAAAATCCCCTCAGCTATAAAGCTATCTGCATGAAACTTTCCAAAAAGTTTGATGAATCGACCATATCATATAGTGATGCTGATTGCAAAAAATAAAAAACTATATTTTTACTTCAATTTTGGATCGTTGTTAAGGCAACAAAATTATATTGTATTCCGATTTAATAAAATAAAAAGTTATTTAACTATTCCTATGTCCAAAAAAATTAAAAAAATTTCTTACTTCAGAAATAACAAAATTCTATTTATATTTTTATACCCTTATAATGCCCTAATTTCAGTCAGAAGTTGGCAACGCAGTGAAGGAGACATTTGCGACCCTATAAAGTATATATATTCTTGATCACCATCACTAGGCGAGTCGATCTAGCCATGTCCGCCTGTCCGTCCGTTTCTACGCAAACTAGTCTCACAGTTTTGAAGCTATCTGCATGAAACTTTCCCAAAAGATATCTTTCTATTGCAGGTAGTATATAAGTCGGAACGAGCCGGATCGGACGACTATAGCATATAGCTCCCATTGGAACAATCGGAAAAATAAATTTAAAAAATTATAAGTCTGCTGGTTTTTAATTTTTTTTTAGTTCTTCGACATATAGTAATGGTTGAATATTTTAGAACTACGGTTTAAATTTTATCAAAATGGACGACTATAACATGAAGCTGCCATGGGAACAATAAAAATATTAAAATAGTTTTTTTTTTAATGTTACTTATCTATTTTTTAATTTTTTTTATTCATTTTTTTTAATTTATTAATAATTGAACAGTTCAGAATTACGGTTTTAATGGGAAAACGATATCAAATAGCTGCCATAGGAACTATCGAATAATTGAGCAGCAAATCATCACAGCTACAAAGTTTTTAAACATAAACGCAAGTAAATCAAAATTTTAATGTTTTCAAGAATATTTAATTTTTGAAATAGCGGCAAGGGTATATGAACTTCGGCTTGCCGAAGTTTGCTATCCTTCTTGTCTTGTTTTATGTTCAAAAGTGAAGAGTTTTAAGGGGTGACAGAAACGTAAAAATAAGTTTTAAAAAAACCTTAAGTTTTACTTTAGTAATTTTAGCCAATTATCTTTAAAAACCCGAAATACCTTCATTGAAAATTAACAAGTAGTCGTCTGGCATCACTAAAATTTTACAAGTAAGACGACTGGCTGGAAATTGTTCTTCTAGAATTTTCCAAACTTCCTTGTTTTTTGGATATTTGCTTATAACTTGCATACTTTTTGTAATGACCTGCCCAAAACAACAAATATTATTTAAAGATCCAAAAATAAGTTCTTGCTGTTCCCACATAATTTAAAAAACAAGAGAGATCGCTTTAGTCGAGTTTCCCAACTATAAGATACCCGTTACTCAGTCAACAAACTTCAAACTAAGTATTTGCCCCATACAACAATCGACGTTAAGGTGGCGCCATCTGTCGAACTGCGTAGCCAACTCTAGAAGCTATGAGCGTGCAGCACCCTCCATTCCGCTAACAGTTCTTTCGGTCTCTACTGCAGCGATTACCGGCAGAGCAGCGGCTGCACAGCGGCAGAGGGTCGGCAGAGGCGCGGCAACACCTTCGGTCTAACATGTCTCAGAGTGACAGCACATACATACATACTTTCACAATTTGTGGGCGATAGAGTGGGCGTGGCTCCGTCTTGAAATCAACTTGTGCCGCGTAGAAACTACTAGAATCTGCATGACAAGTCCCAAATTTCAAGCTAGCGAAATTCTGACTGAAATCATTATACCGTCTGAAATGGTATAAAAATAGGCATGAAATAAATTTGTAAACCAGTGTTGTTGGTTCTTCGCTTTACAAGGATCAAAAAAATGAGACCACTAAAAGCTTAGTAGAATGTTGTAATAAAATAATACGGGAAATATATTATAGTTAATAAGAATGAATAAACAAATTTTCAAGTAACTCTGGCTGTGAATGTTGTAGTAATAAGCGAAATCGGTTGATTTGGAGATACAAAATAAAATAAGCATGCATACAATTATGTTAATTTTTAAAATACCTTTCTAGCAACTTATAGCCCAGGTGCTTACTAATTTACTTAAAAACTGCTTAGTACTTTAAGTTAAGTTGTATGTTAAATACGCGTATTGCAGCATTTCGCTCCACCAGCCACCGCATTTTATCAACTTCAGTTTTTCTCAAGAGAGTTTTTTTTGCCAGTAATAACCTAAAAGTAGGTAGAAAGGTTTTTAACATATTTTTAAGTTCCACACATACACAAATATAGTTTTATATCTTAGGTGCCTACTACGTTTATGTTAACACAATGCTCATGCCCTTTAACAGTAAAGAGCATGATCAAACAATGACCACTTTTCAATAGAGTTTAGGGGTGTGTTCAAAATGTATTATACTCTTCTTTGTTCCTTAATGCACTTTTATCTTTCAAAAACAGAGACTGTTGTGAATACATATATTTTGTTTGCTTTATTCAGGGGTAATAAAGTTCTCTATTTATGGGGGTATTCATTGATAAAAATTTCCACCAAGTATCTCAGAGGGGTGACAACACAATTCAAATGTTTTTATTGTTATAGCACGTCGCATCTTGAACCTTTTGTGCAAACCGCAAAAGTAATTGCTTAACCTAATGACAATTATGTGTTAAGTGTTAGGCATTGTTAGCATCGCGCTCCTGCATTTATGGTTTATTTACGTCTATTATCCAACATACAATGTATAAAATGATACCCAAAAAAAATTGTTAATTAATAATACTTTTTTTCCGGTTTTTAGTTTTTTGAAGCTCGCAATTTGATTTCTTCTTTTAGGATACAATCTTACTCGTTTTTTTATTATAATTTCAGTCAGAAGTTTGCAAAGCAGTGAAGGAGACATTTCCGACTCTATACAGTATATATATCCTTGATCAGCATCACTAGGAGAGTCGATCTAGCCATGTCCGTCTGTCCTTCTGTCCGTCCGTTTGTTCGTCCGTCCGTTTCTACGCAAATTTGTTTCTCAATTTTAAAGCTATCTGCATGAAACGTTCCCAAAAGTTGTCTTTCTATTGCAGGTAGTACATAAGTCGGAACGAGCCGGATCGGACGACTATAGCATATAACTCCAATGGGAACAAACGGAAAAAAAAATTATAACGTTCATGTTTTAAAATTTTTTGGTTTGTTTTTCGACATACTGTATTGGTTTAATATTTCAGAGTTATGATTTAAATTTCATTACAATCGGACGAGTACAGCATAAAGTTCACATAGAAACAATTGAAGTAATAAATGTTATACATACAAGATATAGCGTTACAATTATTTTCGGTTTTTATGGCTTTGGCAATCCGAAGTTTATGTACCCTTGCAGCTATTGCCAAAATTAAATATTCTTTAAAGCATCTTAATTTGGAATTATATGCGTACATTTTCAAAATCACTGAAGCTATAATAATTTCCAGGTCAATTATTCCGATTTTAATAAAATGAAAAGCATAAATCTGAATTATTCATCTTTTACTATGTCCCAAAGAATGAAAAATCAGACAGACGTACGGTCGGACGTTCGGACAGACGGACGAACTTTCGGACGGACAGACGGACATGGTTAGGTTGACTCTCCAATGATGCTGATCAAGAATATATATACATATACATAGGGTCGGAAATGAAATAAAAAAATTAAAAAATAATTAATTATCAGAATTATGATTTAAATTTCATTTCCAATCGGCGGAGTATAGCATATAGTTCACAGAGGAACAGTCGGAGTACTAAAAAAAGAAGATAGTAAAGATTTAAGATTTCATAATTATTTATTATAATATTCTTAAAAACATTTAAATTTTGATTTATTTGCGTATATGTATATGAAACTTACCCAAAAGTTTTTTTTCTATTGCGGGTAGTACATAAGTCGGAACAAGCCGGATCGGACGACTTCAGCATATAGCTCCCATTGGAACAAAAGAAAAAAACGTATTATAACTTTGCTGTTTTCTTCGACACATAGTAATAACAAAAAATCGGACGACTTTATCATATAGCTCCAATAGAAAAAAATATTAAAATAAAAATTTTTTTAAATGTTATTTTTGTAATTTTTGTTAAAATTATTTTTGACTTATTAATAAGTTGACAGTTCAGAATTACGCTTTTAATTCTGCTAAAGTCGGAAAACGATAAAGAATAGCTGCAAATTATCATTGCTTTTAAACATATACGAAAGTAAATCATAATTTTAATGTTTTCAAGAATATTTAATTTTTGAAATAGCTGTAAGGGTATATGAAAATCTGAAAACAATATCGCATAGCTGTCATAGGAACTATTGAATAATGGAGCTGCAAATCATCATATCTTCATTGCTTTTAAACATATTCGCAAGAAAATCATAATTTTATGGTTCTCAAGAATATTTAATATTTGAAATAGCTGCAAGGGTATATGAACTTAGCTTCCTCTCTGGTTATTTTAATTCATTTAATTAAAAGAAAATATTTCTCTTATAAAAAAAGGGTTT